TCTCTCTCTCTCTCTCTCTCTCTCTCTCTCTCTCTCTCTCTCTCTCTCGTGCATTTATTAGCTGTGCAGAGCGTGAACACAGGAGGTAAAATGAATAACCATGGTCTTAACATTAGTCCGTATATTAATAACATATTCTCGTGTATCTGAGTTCTACTCTACACACTGCGTACTATACGGAAAACTCGCAACTTTACGGTTTACCTCACGTTTCAGTCAACGAGAAAAGGTTAATATTAAGCCTAATTAGTTAAGACTAATTACTGTAATTAGCTAATCTCTGACAACGGGCCCCGCGGGACCGACCGACGTTCAACTCGTCGCGGTGTCGGCGAGTGAAGTTGCGACACGGCATCAATACAGTACAGTAGGGGCCTACAGGTAAAGGCGTTCAGTCAATCACCCCCCCCCCTTCCGTCTAGTACAGATCGTGCGCCGAAGGTAAGTGTGATGACACTACCTCCGTGCGATCTTGATACCTGTGATGATAGAAAACATAACTAGCGTACCTGGTGTTACGATCATCGCGTAGGAAGCACGCACGCACGCACGCACACGCACGCACGCACGCACACGCCCGCATCTTCGTGTAAACATTGCGTTCGCCTGGCGTGTTTGGGTGCGGCGATGCTAGCGCCATCTCTGGGACACGATCGTAGTTATATATCGCTTCACGATACAACGCGGGCGGATGCGGGCGAGTATATGGGTTTAGCTGAAACATCGAAAGCTGTTCTACAACCATGATGAACGAATCGTGGAATTGAAATGACGCGTAACTTCAACTTTTTTCAAGCCGCCGCTTCAACTTTTTCAATCAGAATAAATCTAATATAGAGCATATTTCAGATCCCGTACATACCACCCCATCCATCCCACCGCTCATTGTCAGTGACGCCCCACTGGTACATGTACGTATAGGGTATTCAGAGCCGTAGGTTGAGCAAATTCCCAGCGGGGGCAAAATTTCATGACTCAACTGTGTAACGATGAGCGACGGGCGCAGCTCTTG